ATCGTTGAAAATTCATAGCAAAAAAGTTGATAGTAGTACCTTGGATTGATATCAATGAACAAATAAAAGTTGATGGTATAATTGTTCGACATTGTTTCATAAACGTTGATAACAATAATAAAAACAAATAGTAAACTTTATCAAGCAGTATATAAACGTGACGTCCAAATTGGAAAACATATACTCCTAGGTTGATAGAGATGCAACAAACTGTTAATAATGTAACAAAAATTTATTGATAACAAAAACATCAAGAACCAAAACATTATGTTTTTATTAAATACAAAAATATTTATTCTCAACTAAATATAGTCTTTATCAATGATTTAGTGTGTTGTTATTAAAGGTTACTAACACAGTTTTATTGAATAAAAAACATTGATAATAAAGTATAAAACTAATAACGTCATAAAGAGTTTTGTTAACAATATAATTCATGTAAAAGTTGATAATAATGCTTATTAAACCTTTGATAATGAAAACTATATGTGCACACATGACACGATGTTACTAATTAATGAAAACTTGACAATGTTAAATATAATCACCAAACAAGTCTAATAAACAATTAATGACAACATTTAGGGAGCTCATTAGTATCAATAATAATAATGTTGTGAATCAATGATATTGTGAATCATCATATAGATGTTGTAAATCAATGATTCATTCATAAACTTTGATGATTTGGAACGGAGATGATGAATTTCATCTCGGTTGCTAAACCAAGAGTCGAGTAGATGAAGAAGAAAGCGGCCATTGGGAAGATCTCTAACTGAAGGGCGTCGGCGATTTTGTTATTGGAGTCAACGACATCGATGTGGGAGATCAATGAGACGACAGTAAATCTGTGGTTTTTAAAGTTTCTGGTTTGGGCGAGGCGGAGGGATTCCTATGCATAGGGATGGCAATTTTGACCTGACCCGTTTTACCCAACCTGTTTGACCTGTTTTGGGGCAGGGCGGGGCGGGCATGGGTACTCTCATCGACCCGACCTGTCCTGACCCGCCCCATTCTCGACCCGTTCTTGCCTAAATTACACGTAATTTTAGTCAAATTACTTAGGATTTCTCTTTTATTACATCAAATCTTAGCTATAATAAAGACGTAAATTAGTGAAAACCTCAATTTCTCCAATAATTTAACTATATTTCTCATAATATTGTTTGTTTCCTTGGTCTTATAATAAAAACAACGAATATTTCTAATATTTTTCATATAAATTGCATACCCATTGGGTCGACCTGCCCCAACCCGTGACCCGTGATAAATTACCCGTCCTAGACCCGACCTGCCACGGGGCGGGTCTGGGTACCAAGAAACCCGCCCCGGACCTGCCCCATTGCCATTCCTACCTATGCATCGATTAGGATGTACCCTCTGCCAGCCAAGGTGAAGGAATGGGCCCATTCCTTTTGGGTTACTTCTCTGGTTTTAGCAGCAGGTTTGTGAGAGGGAAAGGAAAAAGGGTTGGGAGGGTTGAGATTTTCCAGTTCTAATTTTAGTGGAGATTAAGGGGTCGTTTGCTTCAAGGATTTGGTACATGGATTTGGTATCAAAAAACCTACTATTAAGGATTTAGGTACAATCCGTTGTTTGCTTGCACCTTTTTTGGAGACCAAATCCGTGGGGCCCACGGATTTTAAGGGTCCAAATCCGTGGACCCCACGGACTTATAAATCCCACATGTTGATGTGGGATTTGGAATATGGCATAAATCCTTGATGACATTTTACCCATATACCCTCATGCACTTTTAATATTCCAAGGTTGCCCTCAAATTTAACTATTATACATTATAATTAACAATAAATGAATAATATAAACGTTCAATTAATGTGCAAACATGAGTTAGATTTTTTACATCATTTCTTGTGTTCTAGTTTTCTTTGACCTTTTCATGGAACGTGTAATTCTTTGTTCTCCCGATTCTAATATATGTTGTTATATGTTACTTTTGAAAAGGAGGACAAAGAATTGGTAATTGATTATGTTACGTTAAAAGTTAAAACGGAATTTTCTCGTTTATTATTATTGTCCATGTGGCAACATTATGCTTATTAGTATGTATTTTCCTTGTTTTGTGTACATATCATAAACATGTCAAACATATAGAAAATGATAGTAAGATAATTTTGAAGTTTTGTCCTTGTTTTGTGTACATATCATAAACATGTCAAACATATAGAAAAGGGCAGTAATGTAATTTTTGACTTCAAGTAGTAAATCCCACACCTTTAAATCCATGATAAAAACATCCCAACAAACAAAGGATTGTTACAAATCCATGATGCCTCAAATCCTTGATAAATCCTTGGATTTTTAAATTACAAAACCCTCGTTTATAAATCCATGAAGCAAACGACCCCTAAGTAGTAGTGGATTTTGGTTAAGTAGTTTTCTTTATAATCTATTGTAGTGGTTTTCATGCGTAGCATTTATGACACATTTTCCATTTTGTGGTCTTCTTTGGAAGAAAAGTAGTAGTTTTCTCCCGTTTCCAATTTATGTTGTAGTGTTTCAATATAGTAGTGGAAACAACTTTACGTAAGAGATGTTTGGGTTAATATCATTTTATGCCCCCTGTACTATTGCGTCTTAACAAACGTGCCCCTGTACTATGATTTTGCATAAACGTGCCCCTGTACTATTACGATATAACAAAAATGCCCTTCTGTCGAAAAATCCGTTTTCTCTCCGTTAACTGGGTCTGGAAATTACCCAAATACCTCTGTGACTAATATTAAAGTTTCACTTTAATTTACGGCCGAATTTAGAAAGGCAAAAAGGAGCCCCATAATACGCTGACTCCTCGTTTTCTCCTCTAACGTTCAGCAGTCGATCATCGGTCGGCGTCGTCTTCACCACCAGCGTGATCCAACTCTGCCGGCGTCCACCAACTCGTTCATCTCTCATCCGCCGAACCTCTCATCTAGCTCTGTTGTTTGCAGCCAGCATCTTCTCCGACAACCAGCATCTTCTCCTGAGTTCATCGTCTTTCCTCTAGCGATTTTGCCGGCAGCATAAGCCTAGGCGAAAACGGCGACTCAGCCCGTCAAAGTTAATTCCACCAACAACCTCCGAGGTGCGCCCGCAACCATTCTATTCTTAAACCCTAATTTATACTAAGAGGACAAAAAGAGGGAATAAATATTGTTCTTTCCTGGACCACGTACAAAAGATAGATGGACAATGAAATTAATAATGAAGTTGGGGAAAGCAATCGAGGACAGATATTTGGAGGAACGTTTGGGACGAGGAAGCATTTGGGTCCCTGTTAGGGTGGAGGGAGCGGTAGGTCTGGCGAGGGAGAAGTTGGATCGACGGAGGGAGAAGCTGGTGCGGCGGATGAGATGATGAACGAGAGTTGGTGGATGCTGGATAGTTGGATCACGCCGGTGGTGAAGACGGCGCCGCCCTCGTTGTTGTGGTCGAAGGCCGATGATCCCTTTAAAATTAATTCGGCCGGGGCTCTTTTTTCCTTTCTTAATTCGGCCGTAATTCCTTCAAAATTAAAGTGAAATTTTAATATTAGTCATAGGGGTATTTGGATAATTTCCAGTCCCAGTTAACGGAGAGAGAACTAATTTTTTGACAGAAGATACATCGTAATAGTACAGGGGCACATTTGTGCAAAATCATAGTATAGGGACACATTTGTTAAAATGCATTAATACAGAGGTATAAAATGCTATTAACCCTAAATGTTTATGTATAGCGATAACAAGTTCACTTTTCTATTAGTTTGTTCATAATAAATTCAATCTTCTTATTTTGTCCACTTTCTTTTGTAAAATCACTACTGCCATCCTAAAATAATACTACGATCATGATGATTAATAACTACCATACTGGAATAATACTACTATTTGGAAACACTGTTACTATATCCGAAATTACTACTACAAGTAATCAAGTGAGAAATGGAATGAGTATGATGTAAACAACTACTATTGAAAACACTACCAATGATATTGAACACTACTATTATTATAAAAACACTACTACCAAGAATAATAACTACTATACCATAATAATGTTACTTTTAAATATGTATCAAATAAGGAGAGAGAATATAGAGTGAATTCTGATTTTTTCCCCTAAGAAATCGGGATTGATAATTATTTTCCTCAAATAACAACCACATCCCACTAAATTCGACCATTTTCCATAAATTATATTAATTCATATTTTAATTTATTCTATTATTTTCCTATTATACCCATGCTTTAATTATATTCGTTAGATGAAAAACAAAAGTGGATGGTTCAGATAATAGTTAGCATGGTGCTAACCCCCTATGCAGTTAGCATCGTATCTTCTTCCGCATGCTGGAAGAGCAATTAGCAGAACGAACGAGGAAGTGGTGACGAATAATATATGTAGAAATAATTTAGTTAATAAATGAGGATAACTATATCAATCTATCACGATTAGAAAAATACTTGTGGAATTTATTTGAATTCCATCTCAATTTCTCAGAAATAATATAACTAGTTCCAATTTTGTAGAATTCAAAATTTAGAATTCAAAATGAATTCTTTTACGCATCATTTGGTACCAAATGAATTAAAAATTCATTTCGTTTTAAAATGAATTACTGTGTAGAAATCATTGTCAAATGAATCCTGTGTTTGGTATTTCATATTCAAATTTTTAGAAATAAAATAAATTCAAATCGCAAACCATGTTTGGTATATTTTTAAAATTGAATTACATTAAAAGCTTCTTTTCCACCATTATTAATTTTTCAGCAAAAGCAATATTTATTGATAATCCATCTTCTAAAAAGCACAGGTGACAAGTTATAATCCAACCTCTAAGAAAAAGGGTTATAGGTATAATTAATATGCCCCTCTACTATGAGGTTTTATCAAACATGCTCCTCTACTATTTTTTTTTATGAATCAGATTTCTTTTATTTCATCAAATGTGGTACTAGCAACACCCTTGCTAGCTAAGGCTTAACAAATCAAAAACCATACTGTCCAACCTGTAAACTACGTATCAAAAAAGGATTCATATATATTTCTACCAAACAGTCCTATAATTTCCTCCCTTACAACCTTGCACATTACGTCACAGTCCTTGCAATTTCCCAAGTAAACTCTGTTGCACCTCTCTCGCCACACCACGGTAATCAGACTATGCCACATGGCTCTCCCCACTTGAGACTTCACATTTTGAGACCCAAAGACCTGTTGCATCCAACCCAGCTCACTGTTCAGAGAAGTGAAAACCTCTGATCTTCCAAACAGCTTTTGTATCATGTTCCTGTACAGCAAACACTCTGCAAACAAATGGTCTGAGGTTTCCAGCGAACAACTGCAGAATACACAGCCCAAACTACCATTAAAACCCCATTTCCTCATCTTCTCTTTTGTAGTAACTGCTCTATTTAGGATTAACCAAGTAATGAACCTGTTTCTGGGGATGGAGGTCCCCTTCCATAATAGAAGAAACCAGGTTACCTACTGTCTCCTTGGCCTTAATGTTTCTCAGACTCTCCTTATTGAAAAGGTCTCCATTCTATCCTGATCCCAATAGATGTCCTGCCCCTACTGGTGGAAGAATGCAGATACCTTTTGCCTCGTTTTAAGAATCATTTTCCAGTTCCAGGAACCAAAATTACCACCATAAAGCCAAAAATCTTGGCCTTTCAGCTTGTATACAATGATCCATGCAACCCACAGAGAACCCTGTTGCAGTAATAGGAGCCAAATATGCCTTGTAGCACAGGCAATATTCCAGGTTTCCAAGTCTCTCAACCCCAGTCCCCCCCCTCCTTTATGGGAAAGGTAAGATGCTTCCAACCAATTTTTGCTTTAATCCTACCACTCTGACCAACACCCCACAAGAAATTGCTGCAAATACTTTCCACTTCACGGATCACTGCTTTTGGGAGAATAAAGACAGCCATCCAGAACTGATGCAAACTGTACAGAACTGAACTAACAAGATCCACCCTACCAGCATATGACAAAAAACGAGACTTCCAGCTACTAATCCGAGCAAAGATCTTATCAATCAGGGGTTTGCAAGCAGCGATAGTGAGTTTCCCTGAAGAGAGGGGAACTCCCAGATACCTAACAGGAAACTTTCCCAAAGAGAAGCCATACCTATCAGCCCTCACCTTCTGTTCAGGGCCCGGTAACCCCCCAAAAAAGAGTTCACATTTACTTGGGTTTACTTGAAGACTAGACGGTTTCCTAAACCGAGCTAGAATCTCAATCAGTCTTTGGAACCCAAAATTTGAACCATCAGAAAAGACTAGTAAATCATCAGCAAAGCATAGATGGGTTAACCCTATCTTCTTACACATAGGGTGGTAGGGAAAATGCCCCTTCTGTGCCTCTTTATCAATCAAACACGAAAAGATCTCCATGGAAACAACAAAAAAATACGGGGATAACGGGCACCCTTGTCTAAAACCTTTACAAGCAGGAAAATACCCTACTAATCCTCCATTTAACCCCACACTGAGCATAGGAGTTCTTACACAAATCCTAATCCAACTGATGAACTGTTCAAGGAGCCCCATATGCTTCAACACTTTAAAAATGAATAGCCAATCAACAGAATCAAAGGCCTTCATTAGATCAATTTTAAGCGCATAACGAGGAGAGACATTTTTCTGAGCATACTTATGGAAATAGGGGCTATTTGATTCTCCCCCTTTAAGCCAGAGATCCCTTGATTTGTGTCTTAAAAACGACTCCTCCACCTGAAGTAGCTCATATAACTCCTTGGAAATAGTGGACTCTTTCTTGAAGTTTTCACTTATTGGAACTGAGAGAGCTTCCTGTTGAATTTCTTCAAGTTCAGCCTCCTTTACCTTGACCCTCTCCCTGATTTCAGAGTATTCCTCACGGTTTAGTTTCTTCAATAGGTTATTTAGAATTCTCAGTTTCTTATAAACTTTGATCATCGGTGACCCTGATACCTCACTCTCCCACGCCTTCTTTAGCAGCTCATCAAACTTCGGATGTCTGGTCTAGAATCGAAAGAACTTAAACGGTTTGGGCGGTGATTGTTTTATAGCCTCAGTGTCCACCAAACTTGGACAGTGATCTGAGACTCCTGGCTTCTGAAAATGAACTGAGCTCTCTGTCACCTTATCCAACAAGTCAAAATTAACCAACACCCGATCTAACTTTTTCGCAATTGGACGAGCGTCTTGCTTGTTAAGCCAAGTAAACCACGGTCATGTTGCCTGATGGTCTTCTAGTTCCAATTCCATAATCCACTTGTCAAAATCCTTCATTCTTGTACTACAGTGTGTTACATTTGAAGCTTCAACTTGACTTCTAATCACATTAAAATCCCCAGATATCATCCAAGGAGCTCCCTGGACTATAATATTCCTCAGATCATCAAACAACTGCCTCCTATCCTTCTCCTTATTCGAAGCATACACAAACGTTGCAAAGAAAGGCACAACATCATTTACTAGGACATGATTGAACTGCTCAGTAAAGTGCAAGATACGTAAAGAAATATCCTTCCTCCAAGCCAGCCAAATCTTCCCTAACCCAGCCAAGGAGTATGTAATCTCATTCTCCCAATCGAGAAACCTCTTATTTACTAGCTTTTTCTCTTCTTTTTTCCTAATTCTCGGCTCAAGTATAGCTACTATACTAATATTATGCTTATTTATCTTCCTACGTACCTCTAGATACTTACTATCAGCTACAAACCCCCCTAGTATTCCAGGTGAGTATCTCATCTACTATTTTACATCAAACATGACCCTTTTTTTTTAAAAAAAAATTATTAAACATACTGGTGGACCCTAAGAAAATTTTATTTTATTGGACGGAAACAACCCCACCCCGAGGTCACTCCGGTCACCCGGGTCAAATACCTTGGGTCACCCAGCCCACCTTGGGGTCACTCAGGCCACCCTGGGGTCAAATACCTTGGGTCACCTAGCCCACCCCGGGGTCACTCCGGTCACGCGGGTCAAATACCTTGGGTCACTTTAGGATCACTCCGGCCACCCTGGGGTCAAATACCTTGGGTCACTTTGTGATCACTCCGGCCACCCCGGGGCCAAATACCTTGGGTCACCTTTGGGTCGCTCCGGCCACTCCGGGGTCAAATACCCTGGGTCACCTCGGCTACCTTGGGCTCTCCGCCCACCCCATGTCACCTCAACCTTTGGCCACATACCCCCGCAACGTGTCCATCGACCAAACCACCAAGCTCTCGAAGGAGACACGTAATCCCTTCATGTTCGCCTGGGAGCCTCTATAAAAGGCCACTTCGTCTCCAGATTGAGGTAAGCAAAAATTTTCCCATGCCTAGACTCGTGAACTCGCGCTATGATTAGCGCAGATATTCATTCTCAACTCCATTCACTCATCTTTCTTTTCGAGATCATATTCCTCTCCACTCAACACCCTAACTAACTTGAGCGTCGGAGAGTGTCCCCGCCGAGATCGGCTGGCGGACCCTTTTTGCAGGAGACGAGCGGAGCTAACATCACGAGTGAAGTTCGAGGTGAAAGGTGGTCGTCGACCGACTCCGGTGCCCAGCATAAAAAATTCGACGTCGGCTACAACCCTGGCATCAACACATACCCTTCTGTTAAAATTTCCATTGAAAAAATTGTCAATCATGGTTGAACCGAGATTTAGACGACCCGACATCGGCAAATGAAAGCGAAAATGTTAGTTTTGTGTCCCATTTTATTTCTCTGTGTCTCTTCAAATTGAAATTATTTGAATTATTTGGCTATACAAAAGAACAAAAAATAAATTCTAAAGTGAAATTATTAGAGAAATCTTAGACATTTGTGTCATCCAAACATAAGATCGGCCTTGGTTAACGATTTTTGGATGAAAATTTTAACAAAAGTGCATGTTTGATCATTTTTACAAAGTACAGGGGATGTTTGATGAAAAAATAGTAGAGGGGCATGTTTGATTAAACGTCATAATAAAGGAGCATATTATACCTACAACCCTAAAAAAAATCTAAAATATAAGTTCAACAAAAAAACTGGTAAATAATTTGAAGATCCATCTTCTAAACAAATAACAATTTAATTTTTTAACCCTTACAATTAGTATTTTTTTTTTGTTCTGCAGTCTTTGTTCGGGCGTGGCTATTGATGTTGTGTGACAAGGGTTTTGTTCTCTCCAGTTTGCCGATACCTTGCATCAAACCTAGGGATGCTAGAAAAATACAAAAAACTAAGACTCATAGCATAATAACTAAGGAAGTGGCGTCAGGTAATATCTATGCATGTAAGAATTTTGTAAACAAATGAGCATAATTATATCATTTATTATAATTAGTAGAATGATTGTGGAATTCATTTGAAAATTTCATCTTAGTTACTTGAAATTGCTATAACTAGTTCGAACTTCGTAGAATTCAAAATTTAAATTTGAAAATGATTTTTTTAAATACCAATAGAAAACTTATGGAATTCATTTATACCAGAAAATATGTTAAATACCATATACAAAAAGATTTGGGTAAATACAATTTAATATCCAAACCTTTCATTTTAAAAAAAATAATAGCCAAACCTTTTCATATATAATATAATAGTCAAATCGTCAACTTTCCATCCGGTTGACTGTTAGTTTACTGTGACGTGGCAGTTGTATCGCTGGCTTGGATTTCGATTGGTGACGTGGCAGTTGTATCGCTGGCTCTTCCGTTCAACTCCTGCCACGCCTTGCCGACGTCGCGGACCTCCTCCACCTCATCGAGGAGCTCAGGGAGCGATGATCCAATTTGAAGATGCAGCTGCTCGAGTTCAAGCTTCTGAAGGAGACCGCTACCATTGCACCCAAATTGGAGGGAAATATCTTCGCTAAGAACGCAGAAATTGAGAGGGAAGAGAGCCACGCGAGAATGCAGGTTATGGAGGACGAGCTTCAGAAGCTAAGGAAAATGGGTCTGGAGAGAGGGATCAATAGAGTTGACCTAGAATCCCCAAGCCTCCACCAAACTGTCGCCGTCGTCAATGTCATTGTTGTCGGCCTCGCCACCACCATCTTGCATCCTCGACCAATCTGCTTCTGTTTTCCCACCGCCATTGCCTACTTTTCCCCTATCGTTGCCGCTGGCGTCGACCACTGCAGTTGTGAATCTGGCCCCACCATTGCCGCCGCCTCTGCTAAAGAGGTTGAAAGCTGGGGCAATGAAGGTGAGATGCGTGCTGGAAGTTGCGGAGTTCTACCACTCTCTATTGCAGAGGGATTCAAGGAAGGATGGTTTGGTTGATGAAATTATTAACTAATAGCAAAATAATTAAATTAATTAAGCAAAGTAAATTTGTCGGGAGAAATTCAATGGAGAAAGCTCTGGGAGAAACACTGAGACTCACTGCCTATCCTATCCATATTAATTCACATATTCCAATCAATTTAATCCATATATCTACAGACTACAGCCAGGATATCACTACTGTGCCAGCTATCCCTGTCGGGAATTACTACGTACTAAACAATTAATTCAAATCCTAATGTCATAGCTCAATGACTTAATTATTTAGCCTGAAGATCGATATCCCATTGAAGACCGCATAGCACCTTATTTAATCCACTGTCGCTTCAATAAGTTACTATGTCACATGAAATAGGTTCAGTTATTAGGGTTTCACTGTCTCTAATAACCTAATTAACTACAAATCATTGTATTGGTGGCCAGTCAACACAAAGCATTAAACAATTCCATGCAATAGAGATTGGAAGAAAAGAAATATGAATCAATCCATCAAATATAAAAATAGCTACATCTTATGGTGTTTCCCCCAGAAATTGGGGTTTAGTTCATGAAGAAATAAAACACACAATCATGTTCTTGTTCATCATAATGCTAGTAACAAAAAGGAGAGAAAATATTGATACGAACAGAAGCACAAAATCTGATTCTCTCTTCCGATTCGCGGTACTAGTGATATGCTCCAGTCGCTGCGCTCGTCCTCATCGTTCGCTGCAGTTGTTCCAATTCTCTTCCGAGCGACTCGTCTCTCCTCCCAAAAGAAGTTTTGTTCCCACCTGCCTCCCCGTGTCCAAGCCTCTTTAATTCCCCCCGTCCAATTAATTGCTCCCCTCCAATTTTTGTTCCCAAAGGCAGCGCTTAGCTCTCTCTCTCCGTCCAAAGAATTCCCATCCAAAGTGAAGTCTCTCTCCTCCTGCCCGGTCCAAGTAATTCAGTGGGCCAATCAAGCCCAAAAACACTGTTGCCGTTCAACTCCCTGCAGCCTGCTCCAATTATTCGGTCCCCAGGGAAGCTCGACCCAATCTCCTTTATCGTGCTTTATTCACCTGTAATACATCAAACTCATGGCACTAGGTATTAATGGTTTTTTCAACCATTCTAGGGTTAGCGAGCCCTAAAATATCATCAATCGGCTTAAACATATCATGGGATAGTCACATAAAATTCAAGAATCCGAAATATTAAAGCCGATTATCACAACCCCACACTCAATTGTTGCTTGTCCCTAAGCAACGACTCAAAAGACACAGGCACATAACCATCCAAAACAATGACACACCACAGACTCAACTTCAAACACTCAAAACAAAACAAAAAATTTCCTTGTACTCTTGTTTTAATCAGTAGTTTCTTTCTTAAAGGACGAGTTGTGCTTTAATGATCATACCTTTCACCCTAAACTCAAGGTCTTGCAACCCTTTAACATTGACTGACTCAAATCCATCAAAAACTCAATTAGAAAACACTCAATTCAAATCGTCGGTAGTGGGTGGTTAACAACTTATGGTGCAGCCAATATTAGGAGAATCTAACCACATCAGTGAGGTGCTTATCTCGTGAGGACAATTTGGCTTACTCACACCAATCATAAGCAATTGATTAAGCATGAGTCTCAAAAACAAATCGGGGAAGCTTTTCGCAAACTTGATTTTAACTTTAAGCACATCACTATCTTTCTTGACAAGAAGAGTCTTTCTCTCTTTCTGATTTTGCTTGCCGATTTGTCGTATTTAGTACAAGTGGGATTTGTTTCTCACTACCGGTGACCGAGCAAGAGCAATTTCTGCTTCTTAGCACTCGCATAAGGGCTTCTTTCAACTCCTTTTCCTCAGTCCGTGTGGAGGGTCACTGCACATCCTCAAATGGCACTTCACTCAACGGGGAATCGTACTTGATAAGCAACATCGTACAGTCGCGAACCGATGCTCATTTGAACCTTTCCTAATCCCCCTGTGCAATGAGTGATTGCCTCACACGATTTTGGTATTTTACCCTCACTTTAATTGTTATGGCAACTTTCTTACCACATGCATCAGGTACAAACAAACACTAAGACTCACCACCCCACACTCAGGATGGAACAATGTCCCTAATGTTCAACTCCTAATCTAAACATGCACGGGTTTGACACAACTAAAAAGAAAAATAAAGAAAAGAAAACTTACCTTGGGTTGCCTCCCAAGAAGCGCTTGTTTAACGTCCTCAGCCTGACGTTCATGGAGCTTTCAACCAATGGGTATGGAAAGGTATCCGGAATACCCTCCCGAGCAATGATAGAATGCATAACCTCCATCCAACATATGAGTCACCTCGGAAGGGCCAGGTGTGCGAAAATTTGGTATGACCTTCTTAGCTTGCATGTTGGACCCCTTAGTGAGGCGCAGGTGGTATTGCAGTGCCTCAAGCAAGTACTCTTCCTGTTTCAATGTCAGTGAAGAAGGAATAATAACAGGAAGATTGAAATCTTTACCCAAATATCTATACTTGAGGTGATCTGACAAGGATTTCTGTCCTTGCTTTGATTTCAGAATCTGAGCAGATAGGACATGTGATAGTTGTTTAGGTTGTCCACTATCACATGAGAATGGATTTTTCCTTTCTCGAGCTCCACTTTCAAAGTCATCAAATGCATCGTGATTATGATCAACTTGAAAGACATTAAAAATTTCCTCCTCCTTACCTACTCGGAATGTCAGTTTGCCTCTCCCAACATCGATGAGTGCATCTCCAGTTGCTAGAAAAGGTCTCCCAAGAATGAGAGGCACTCCCCGATCTTCTTCCATCTCCAGAATCACAAAATCCGTAGGGAGAATAAACTTCCCCACCTTCACCAATACATTCTCCACCACTCCCTTTGCAATTTTCACTAATCGATCGGCCAATTGGAGAGTGATCCGAGTAGGCTTAAGATAATCTCCCAATCCCAATTTCTTGTAGACTGAGTATGGCATCAAATTAATGCCTGCTCCTAGAACATAGTGTGATTTATCGAACTCTCTACCTCCAATGACACATGGAATGGTGAAGCTTCCTGGATCATCCCTCTTTTCTGGTAATTTATTCTGAATCACGGCACTACATTCAGAAGTAAGGGTTACCTTCTCCAGATCAGCCCATTTGCGCTTCTTCGTCAGCAACTCCCTTAAGAATTTAGCATATGTATGCATCTGTTCAAGTGCATCTGCCAACGGTATGTTGATATGAAGTTGCTTGAAGATATTCACAAATTTCTTGAAGTTTGGGTCTTCCATGGGCTTCATTAACCTTTGAGGTAATGGTGCGGGAGGTTCATAAGGCTTTACCTCTTCGTTCTTCAATTTTTCCACTTTTGGAGTTCCGCAGGCAGAATACTCATGCACAGGCAGATTGCATGCAGTTTACTTGTGCAAGTCAGATTTTTCGGCTTTTGCACATTCTTCCTCTGCAGTTGCTTTGCCCTCCTTTTCTTTTGGAATTTTCTTGCTCTTTGGATCCTCCTACTCCTTACTCCTCCTCAATGTGACAGCTACAACCATGGTGTCCTTCGGATTCCTCTCAGTATTTGCTGGTAAAGTCCCAGGAATCCTACCTTGAATATCTTCCAAAGTTTGAGCCATCTGGCCTATTTGCCTCTCCATAGCTAGCATAGATGATTGCATATTGTTGTTGATGGCTAGCTGTTGAGTGACAAATTGATCAAGACCCTTGAAATTATTTTCTGTTTTCTGCATATGAGCCAAAATTAACTCTTCCAGTTGGGGCTTCTTCTCTGGTTAAGGCTGCTGCTGTTGAAAACCAGGAGGTGGGATGTTTCGAACACCAGCTGGATTATTGTTTGACCATGACATATTGGGGTGATGTCTCCATTGAGGGTTGTACATATTTGAATACATACCACCCTGGTCTTGACTTCGCGGATTATTGATGTATTGGACATCTTCCAATTGAGAAGCTCCCAGTGGACACATATCCCTATGATGAGCACCCTCACAAAGTTCACATAAAGCAACCTCCTCTTGACTACCAAGAGCAATCTTGGCCAACCTTCGTTCGAGTGCATCAAACTTGGAATCTAGTTTAGTATCAAACTTGGCTTCGAGACTTGTAAATTTGTCAACTTCATGAAAGCCTCCTCTTTTTCGAATATTGGACTCACTACCCCATTCAGTGGCTTTTGAACAGATCTTCTCTACCAGTTCATATGCTGCTGGAGCCTCCATCCTTGTGAAACCATTTCGAGAAGCATTATTTAGGGCATCCCGAAACTCCCTTCTTATTCCATTGAAGAAAATAATGATCAAGTTCCAATCCTCAAGACCATGGCTTGGGCATCTCATCAATAGCCCCTTATAGCGCTCCCATGCCTCAGTCAGACTCTCATCATCAGCCTACTTAAAAGTAACAATCTCTTCTTGCCTCTTCATTTCCAAGGCAGGTGGGAAGTATTTATCCAGAAAGACCTTTTCAAGATGAGCCCATGTCGTGATGGAACGTGGTGTTAAGTTCTGAAACCAGTGTGATGCATTCCCTATCAGAGAAAATGAGAACATACGAAGACGGATTGCATCATCAGACATAGTCGGGCTCTTCATCGTATCACATATGCTTGCGAACCGGCGGAGATGTTCGTGAGAATCCTCATTGCTAGCCCCGGAGAAAGTATATCCATTGGTGATCATGTTGATAAATGCTGGGGTAATCTCCATGGTTGCATCCCCAGCCGGAATGAAAACACATGAAGCTCGGGCTGCAGTCCGTCGATTCTAACGAGCCCTGATCGAACGATGCTCGTCTGCCATGATGACAGGCTCGATGTCGCGCGGTGGTGGTAGTGTCGGTGGTGTAGGGATGACAGGTGATGAAGCCTGCCCTCTCTGGTTTAGGGAAGGCCTAGTAGTTGTGGTTGGCTGCTTCCCTAACTTGACCTGCTTCTTGTTCCGACGGCAGGTCTTCTCAATCTCCGGATCTAGTGGCAGTAAATTGTCAGTCGTCTTCCTAGGCATGCACGAGGAGGATAAACCTGAAAATTCTTCTGCGCACTAACACCCATATCAAAATAGTTCACTCACAAAAATCAACAAAGATAAGGTATGGCAGTCCCCGGCAATGGCGCCAAAAACTTGACAGCGCAAAAGCGTAATGTCAATTCCTATCTTGTAGTAAAACTGGAAATCCGGGTATCGTCTCTCAGGGACTGGTAAAACCTTATAATTTATCAATTATGTGGAGCAAACTATAGGTGAAAAATGGTTTGGTTGATAAAATTATTAAATAATAGCAAAATAATTAAACTAATTAAGCAAAGTAAACTTGTCGGGAGAAATTCAATGGAGAAAGCTCTGGGAGAAACACCGGGACTCACTGCCTATCCTATCCATATTGATTCACATATTCCAATCAATTTAATCTATATCTCTACAGCCAGGATATCACTACTGTGCTAGCTATCTCTGTCGGGAATTACTACGTACTAAACAATAAATTCAAATCCTACTGTGGTAGCTCAATGACTTAATTATTTATCCTGAAGATCGATATCCCATTTAAGACCGCATAGCACCTTATTTAATTCACTGTCGCTTTGATAAGTTACTATGTCACATGAAATAGGTCCAGTTATTAGGGTTTCACTGTCGCTAATAACCTAATTAACTACAAATCATTGTATTGGTGGTCAGTCAACACAAAGCATTAAGCAATTCCATGCAATAGAGATTGGAAGAAAAGAAATATGAATCAATCTATCAAATATAAAAATAGCTACATCCTATGGTGTTTCCCCCATAAATTGGGGTTTAGTTCATGACGAAAATAAAACACACAATCATGTTCTTGTTCATCATAATGCTAGTAACGAAAAGGAGAGAAAATACTGATACGAATAGGAGCACAAAATCAGATTCTCTCTTCCGATTCGCGGTACTAGTGATATGCTCCAATCGCTGCGCTCGTCCTCGTCGTTCGCTGCAGCTGTTCCAATTCTCTTCCGCGCGACTCGTCTCTCTTCCCAAAATAAGTTTCGTTCCCACCTGCCTCCCCCTGTCCCAAGCCTCCTCCCTCTTTAATTCCCCCCTGTCCAATTAATTGCTCCCCTCCAATTTTTGTTCCCAAACGCAACGCCCAGCTCTCTCTCTTCGTCCAAAGAATTCCCGTCCAAAGTGAAGTCTCTCCTCTTGCCCGCATGTGCAATGTCCTCCCCTTTATGACTAGTTATCATCTTGAAGCATATGATCCTCTTATGGAGATGCCAACTAGGTTTATTTGGAGGTGAAATGCGCCGTGATAATTATGTAATTATCATTCTTCAATGATGTCCAACAATCCGTTGTGATTGAAACCCGCCCCATACCTCTATCTTTGAAGAAGGACTTCAAGCTATCTTTTGGCTGAAGAAATAGCTTTGCACAATCTGTACTCCCTGTCTTCCTGCTTGGAATTTTGAACATAGGACAAACACGAGCCATGAAATTGATGAAAGCCCTCCCTTTCACAAAATTTGAAAGGTTGCTCGTTAAGCATGATCCTTTCTTCAAAAGCTAACCATGATTCTTCTTGATTGAGTCGCCAAGATGATATCTCACCTGGTCCGTCTGTGGATGATCCAGCTTGGAAACTAAGATACGATTGTTGTACCTGCTCCAAATGTTTCTTCTCACAAGAGGTCTTATGGTTCTTCAAGCCATTTGTGCCATGGCTGCTTGAGATGGAAATGATAGTTCCACAATGATTACATTTTCCTTTCAGAACCTCAATCGGGGGTACTCCTTCTAAACCAAATAACAATGTGAATCCGACCCAATGGATGGTTTTTCATTAATCACAACATTACTTGCTTGTTGAGTTTGAGGTACAGAGTAGAGGATCGGCCGGCAACGTCGGGGATCGGCGGCGGAGAGGAGTGACTCGCACGAAACTACTCCACAATAAAATCCCAAACAGAGCCCAAGCATTTAAACTCTAATCGGGTGCAGTATAGGGCAAGTATTTAGATATCGACCTATGCTGGTGTGTCTACCCCTACTTCAGTTGTTGAAATCATTATCTAGCAACAAAACTTTGGTTTAAAGGTTTGCTAATTGAAATGAAAGAAAGCAAAGGTAAATGGTTTTGATAACTCTTTGGTGGAAAGATCACTCGGGTGTTGTTCCCACCTTAACTACTACCATTTGGAACGATTTCTTTGGGCACAGTAATCGTGAATCGCAGAGGGATGCATATATGGTCAGAGACCACAATCTCAATTGCTAAACCAAGGTAAGCATGAAAGGCCTTGTCACTTGACCCTCTCGGTTTAGACAATCGGTAATTGACTTACTCCCTCACTCAAATCTAAGGTCGGACGACTTGATCGCGATTAACCGACTTGCTTAACTCAATATCGAGGTTTGCCATAACTTAACGTAGTTTAGGTAGCTTAGAAAGCGGAAGGAAAACCAACTCGATTGAGTCTCCCTTGGAAGGGGGATTTTCCTCTCTAAGCTAGGTTAAGGGGGCTAATTAGATTTCTAGCACCTACATGCACAAACTTAAGGGTGCTAGCACAAAACATGCACAACCCCTAAGTTGCTAAGCACAAGCATGCACAATCATGATAAATAATGCCTCAATCATTAAATTGAACAATACCCAATGACAATCATCCAATACACATAAAAGAAATCTACATGGTAGAGTTAGGGTTTCACAACACCCAAGTGAAAGGAGGTCTACTCCATGCTAGAAGTGGGAAAAAACAAAATGGAAAGAGATAGAAACCATCTTTGGAGGATTCTCCCAGTCTTCTTGGCCCTTGATTTGAGCTTTCCTTGGAGGAAATCTTCCCAGAATCTGCCTTGAAGCTAAACCCTAGCCTTCTTCCACCTTGGTTCGTGTTTCTCCCTAGAATGTAGAAGAAGGCATTGCCACCAAATGGGCTCTCCCCTCTCTCCTCCTTTCAGATCATCTTTTAAACTAGAGATGAGCTGAGTTCACGGCCTCAGTTCACGCTCGTGAACCATGAAACGAGTCCGTGAACTGCAGGCGTGCGCCAAAATGCGTCGCATCGTTCACGGTCTTAGTGACCTCTCGGCCCTACACAGTAATATTTCAACCTACACAAGTTGGGGACAACTCAAAGGGCAGGAAATGGGAATTCTCGATGTTTATTGACAATCAACCCATGAACTGTTGCAAGCAATACCGACATCCACCACAAACGACATTCAAAGCCACCAAAACGGGCAAATGAAAAGTTCTCAACCTATTCATGGATAAATGCAAGTCCCAACAAAACCACTTATCGACCACAACCAACCATGCATGGAATTCTAGTCCGAGGAACAAATGGAAATGCAACAAAAGTCCTCACCGGGGTATGAAATGGTAAGTAAAACAAGAATGGATCATTCACTCTCAAGACTAGTGGGGTCGGGACCTTTTTGGTGCAAAAGATGTGCACAATCGTAACCTCTTGACCCTATCATCTCCATACCACGGCGGTAACCTCTAAACGCTAGAGTTCACGGGATGCTTGTCACCACTAGCTCGTCCGGAGGTCTTAGACACGGGTTCAGATGACTAGCGATTGGCTCGAACATGGGGAAAATGATTTTTGGGTGGTGGCAATCATGACGTGAGGTTCTACATCTTCAACCTAAACCCGAAGGGTCTATGCTTTCGACTAAAACCCTTCTCTTCAATCAAAGGCCATTAGCATCAGCCAAAAACCTTATGTCTCTCTTCCAACTATCACTCATCATGAACTACCTTGAAGCACTCTTCCTCTGTCAACTCTTGCTAGCTCTTTAGGATTGGTAGTGAAGGAGTTCTAAACAATGTGGGGGTTCCGATGGCTTGGTTTCCAAGAAACCCCTCCTAGAGCATGTACTTTGGTTTTTTGTGGCACTCTCTACTTTATTTACCCCATTTTATTACCTCTTTTTCGTTTCTCTTTTTATTTTTATTTTTGAGGGGGGTACTAGAGAGTAAAACACTTGCCACCTAAACATTTAACGACCAATGCTCTCTTTTTGAAGAACTCACTCTAACACTACACTTCATTTCGCATTCCTAGCAAGAACCGCACACAAACCTCCTATGTAGAACCTCTATGGAGACTCAAAGGTGAGAGATCTGGAACACACGAGCAACTCATGTTTAGACACGAAGAAAGGATTGGGGGTCGTTCTACTAACATCTTTACGCTCACACTCACGAAGCTCCTAAATTGAGAACGACCCACGAAGTCACAGGGCTCAAAGGGGTTGACTAAATGATGATACATTTCGGGACAATCAACATTTGGGCGTGGACTCATCCTATGCCTCCATCATACTTGCTAGTGACAACTTGTGATGCTACACACCGTGGTAAGAGGGTACTATCACACCGGACGAAAATGATTGGCTCAAATCTCACAGGCTACCTAGTTACCCAACCATCTATTCCAATTCACAAACGCGATGCATGGCAATTGTAAGCAACAAGTGATCAAGTCAAGACATCCATTCATTAATGCACACCTGAGAGCTAAACTTTTGCCCTATCCTAATGAACTTCTCAGTCATCATCATAGGATATAATCGATCACATGCAATAATTCAATATCAATGCCCAAAAACACAAGAATTTGCCACCATCCGACCACTTTGATCATGCAAACATTGCTTGGAGCCCTCAAATTTTTGAAATCTGGGCATACAAAAGGCTCCTATAACACCCCGGTATTTTAGATTTAGGTTCGACCTTAATACGTGATCGGTTGGATTGACGGTTACGTACTAAGAGTTACGACCGCGGATTAAGAATATTATTATTATTATTATTATTATTATTATTATTATAACATTATTTATAAAAAAAAGTATATATAAATTCATCCACTTTAATAAACCCAAACTCCCTCCCATCTAAACTTCCCCACGTCTTTCCCAATTATTCCCCATCCAAAAACCCTACAATCCTCAAAACCCCATCCCCAGCGCCGACTGAAGAACCAAGCAACAACGCCACTTGCAGACGATCT